GCAAGTGGCCAGTGGAGGAGTGGGTGTTGGGGTGGGATGGACGTGGTATGGAGAGGTAGTCTGACTCCGATCACAAAGGGCTTTTCCTGTGGTGCTCCGGGTATGGACACTTCACTGGAGTAGAGAGAAATTCGCCTTCCTGGCCTCAGCCCAGCCGAGGGGTAGAGGAAAGAGGCGGGGGTCCAAGAACAGGACATTTCTGCGACTGCCCAAACCTCCCTGTGTGGGGAGGATGGAGAGGTCCAGAGGGCTTTGCTGGTAGCTGGAGTGGGGTTCACACCTTGCCTCGCACCCTCGGGCAAGTCACTTAAACTCCTTGGGCCTAGTTTCCTCCGTAAATTGACCCTGAAACTGTCTGGCGCATCACAAAGACTCAACAAAAGGTGGGAGTATTGTCACTGTGATGAGTCAGCCCAGGGAAATTTGACCTAAAAAAAAATCAAAAGGCTGCATTCAAACCATAGTGAAGGATGTCTGACCCCAAGCTAGGATTCAGAGGAAGCTGATGAAGAAAAGATTAGTAACAGAGAGAAAGTATCTATTTAAGTATCTCTCGCCTTTTAAATGCCCACTCTAAAAGAAATATCTACCTTACCAGTTCAGGTCATTCGAGTGTGGGCATTTACACAGTGGGGTATATATTTTGTGATAAAAGGACATTTGTAATAACTGGTTAACCTTGGGCCTTGGTTCCTCACAGTGGATGATTCAGACCCACAGCAGGCACATGACTGTCCCTTAGGGGTGAAAGGCAGCTGGCGCTGGGCAGGAACCAAGGAACACCACCAGCCAGCCTCAGGGCAGAGCCCCCAGACACCTCCTGGTGGAATGCAATGAAGGTCACTGGCAGGACAAGCCGCAGAGCCTGGAATTAGTTTGCCAGCTCATCTTCAACCTGATAGCATGCAATGAGTGGGGGCATGTCGGCAGGCATGTGCGGAGAGAAAGAGAGGGCATGAAAGCAAAACAGGGCAAAACACTGAGGGGAGAGGGAGGGGGGAGGGAGAGGCAGAGGTGAGCCCAGGGTGCAGCACGGAGACACAGAGAGAGACAGACAGCCAGAAACACACAGAAACATAAAGAAAGATGGAGAGAGGCAGAAGACACACAAAAATCCAAAGCAGAAACAATGTCTTGGTATAGATCAAAGGAGACCCAGGAAGCAAGAGAGGAAAAAAGATATATGTATTATTTTAAAGCATATAGTCTATGATAGAAAGCAACCAAAGAATGATTACTATGAAGGACATTATGCATAGCCTTACACTTGCACAGGACCTACAGCACACAAAGTCCTTTCCACCTGCCCAAATACCCACCAATGAGGAGGCAAGCTAATGGCCTCTCATCCTGTCCCTGCCACTTGGAGCCGTGTGACCGTGTCTGAAAGTCACTTAGACTCTTTCTGCCTCAGTTTTCTTTTCTATAGAATGGGACTGGTCTCGTGTGCCTGGCTGCTCGGGTGGTGGTGAGGCACCCCGGTCTCCATCTCCATGGTTCTCATGGCTGCAAACGGAAGCTCAGGAATTGAATTTGGCCTCCCAACAGATTTTGTTCTACTCCCGCGGAGATTTAAATATGTTCTGTTTTAATTCATTGCCAGCATTTGAAAATCAGGAGCTATTGCAGATATATCTGGACATCAGGCCTCTTTTGAAAAGCGGGCAGAATGGGCAGGGCTGGACCTGTCCCACTGTGGCAACTCTGCTTCAAGCTGGTGCCAGCGATGCCCTTTACTTGGGCATGCTTGGTCCAGTTCTCCACAGTCCCCATCACTCCCTATTGTCTCCCTGATGCCAGCTCACTTCATTCATTTATGTTCCTTCCTTGGCCCCTGGAGTTTTTGGGTTTGCTGCCCTTGTTCCATCTCACCAACATATTGTATTGAAATGATCTTTTCATGGGTCAGTCTCCTGTCTCAGAGGCAGAGAATGTGTTTTGTTCACCCCTGGATTTCCAGCCCTGAGCTCAGTGCCCGGCACACAGTAGGAGCACAGGAAATGTTTGCTGAACTTAACATGGCATGGCACTACCTGAGTATGAGAGTAAGGAGAGAGAGAACCGAAGGGAAAGTGGGTGGTGACGACAGACTCTGAATCTGGCTTAGTATCAACCATGCACACAAGGGTGCCTTGTAGGCAGTGGGGTTCTTTATTCCCCCCAGATTAGCTCAGTCCCTTTACAGCCTCACCTGGCTATGAGAGAAGAAACCGGACAGGGCGTGATACAGGTTCCAGCGAGGGGCATCAGTGTTTCACCTTCCTCTCTTGTGCCCAGAAAGTTAGAAGCAAGAATTTGGAGCCCTCTAGACCGAGAATGGTGCGACAAAAAGCAGGACCTCTGGTTAAGGGCCTCTGAGGGAAGCAGAGAATGGAGCAGAGTGGCCAAGAGTACAAGGATGGGCCGGGCTCTGAGAGAGGCGAGCCTTGCGTCAGTGCCAACAGAGACAGCATGTTACTGTGCCTGCACGTGGTGTAGACAGCCCTCGTAAGGAAAGACAGGCTTTTGTAAAGAGGAAGCTTGTGGGGACAGTGCAGTGTGTGCAATCAAAGTCTAGCTACATACTGACTGGCTGTGTGAACTTTGACAAGTAAATTAACCCTTCTGGGCCGGTTTCCTCCTTGTATGTAAAATGGAGCTAACACTGGTGTCCACCTCACAGGGATGTTGCATGAGTTAAATGAGATAATGCAGGTAAAGTGCCTGGCTCGTGTTTGCTCGATGCCTAACATGCTCTGTATTCATTTCTTACAGCTGCAAGAACAAAACACCACAAATTGGGTGGTTTAAAACAACAGAAAGTTATTCTCCCACAGTTCTGGAGGCCAGAAGTCCCAAATCAAGGTCTCTGTAGGGCCACAGTCCTCTGAGGTGCTAGGAGACAGTCTGTTGTTTGCCTCGTCCAGTTTCACATGGTTCCAGGCATTTGTGGGCTTGGGGCTGCCTCACTCCAATCTCTGTCTCCATCTTTTCATGTGTCTGTTACTTCTGTCTCTTATAAGGACACTTGCCAGTGATTTAGAGCCCACCCTGTAATGCAGGATGATCTTGTCTCAAGATCCCTAACTCACTGACATCTACAGAGCCCCCTTTTCCAAATGAGGTCACATTCACAAGTTCCAGGCCGTAGCCATATCTTTTTGAGGGGCTACCATTCAACTCACTACCACACCTAATGTTTATTGAGTGCTTTCTATAAACCAGAACTTCACATGCATTATTTGATGACTTGATTAAGTTAGATCTTGAAGGAAAATCCAGGATAGTTCCTACCTTGGGGCCTGATGCTGTTTTCCCAAGTGATGAGGCAGTGCGCGGCCATGTGGCTCCGTGACTCGTGACCAAGGGAAGTGGGTTGACACACGCCATTTCTAGATTTTCTGGATTCCCTCCTTGACCCTTTCCATGTGCAGTATCCTTTCCCCTCTCTGTGGAATGTCTGTGGCGGACACGGATGTGCTGTCCAGATCCTCCTTTAAGGAAGGACTTGTTCCAGCTGCTGGGAGTGTGGTCATCAAACAGCCTGCAGCTGTCGGCCCCTTCTCGTGGGCCTCAGTGCAGAGAGCCGCCTCGTAGGAGAGCCCCTGTCATCAAGTGGGCCACATCTAGGGTCTGGTGGAGGAAGCAACACAAAGAACCTGGCCATATCAGCCTAATATGGGACAAGCAGGGTGGGCCATTATAACTCCAGAGTTCCCTGTGGGGTCACAAGAGGCTTTGTGGGGCCTGCATTGCAATGTCCCTTCTCCCAGCCCAGTCCTGCTTCCTCCTCTCCCATCCATAGGTGCCATTTTCACTGGATTCATATCGGTCTTGAATTTTTAGTTAAGTAATTTGATGAAATTCATCCGATATTTACCACCAACTGTGAGTAAGAAATCAAAAAAGAATATAAGACAAGGGAGACAGGCTACTGTCCCAGGTGAGAAAATAGGCTTTTGGAATAAAGCTGATCTGGGTTTGAGTCTTGTCTCTACTACTCTCTGTCACTGAACTCTGCACCTCAATTTTTCTACCTATTCTATGGGGATAATAATGATATATACTCCATGGAATCTTTGTGAAAGTTAAATGAGATCGTCTATCTAAAACATTTATAACAATAAACACCATAAATGTTATTTATTAGCATTAGCTACTTCCTGAAGCAAAGCATAGAAACACACACACCCCTCAAACAGCACACACTAAACAAATTTCAGATCATTTGAGTCACTGATTGCAGAAACCTCATGAAAATTTGTCTAAACTTATTTTAGAAGGATCCCAGGGGCTTTTTCCTTATTAGTGAGAAGGTTATTAAATTTTCCAATCCCGAAGGTGAACGCTGAGTAGACACCTACAGGCAGTGCAGGCATGCATCACATAGCTGTCCTGGGAAAAGCATTTTAAGCAGAGGGAACAGCCAGTAGTTCTGAGAGGACAGTCAGACTGTGTTTGGGGACCAGCCAAGAGGTCCATATGGCTGGAGGGGAGTAAGCAGGGTGGATGAGGTCAGAGATATACGGGGTGGGGCAAGTCTTGTAGGACCTGCTAGGTCATTATGAAGACTTTGGATTTTGCTAAATGATTTGGAAAGTTCTCAGGAGTCTGGAGCTAGGGAATGACATGGCCCAATTTCTGTACTAAAAGGATGCCCATGACCACTGTGTTAAGAATGAAGTGGAGGTGCACAAGGCAGAAGAAGCAGCGAGGTCACTGTCAGGAGGCTGTTGCAATCTCCCAGGCTAATAAAGATGGCAGCTTGGATCAGGGAAGCGACCACGGGCATGGAGCTTGGTCAGCACCTGCTCTACGTTTTTGTGTGTTTGCTTGAGGAAGATTGGCCCTGAGCTAACTACTGCCAATCCTCCTCTTTTTGCTGAGGAAGACTGGCCCTGAGCTAACACCCGTGCCCATCTTCCTCTGCTTTATACGTGGGACGCCTACCACAGCATGACTTTTGCCAAGCAGTGCCATGTCCACTCCCGGGATCCGAAACCGCGAACCCCGGGCCGCGAGAAATGAAATGCGCGCACTTAACTGCTGCGCCACCAGGCCGGCCCCACCTGCTCTATTTTGACTCCTGTGGTGGCAGAATTTGGTAACGTCTTGGGAGGAAGAGAAGAGTCAAGGAGAACTCTTGGCCTTTTGTCCTGAGCAACTGGAGGAGAAAGGTTCCTTTAATAGAGATGTGGAAGATGCCAGCGAGAGGCAGGTTTGGGAAGAAGAGAGGCGTTCCTGTCGGGACCTGTTAGGTATGAAATAGCTCTTAAGCACCCAAATGAAAATGTTGAGGTGGCAGAGAGATAGAAGAGTCTGGAGTTAGTGAGCAGTCTGGGCTAGAAATGTCGATTTGGGAGTCGTCAGGCTATAGTTGGTGTTTCAAACTATGTGACTGGATGAAATCACCGAGGGAATGAGTCGAGAAAGAAACGGGAGATAAAAGGACAGGACTTGGAAGCACTCCAGTTTCAGGGGTCAGAGAAGATAAGAAGAACCAGTCAAGGAGATGGACAAGCAGCTGCCAATGAAGGACAAGGAAACCCAGGAGAGTCTGGAAACCAGGGGAAGGCATGTGAGTTGGGCTTTGATGGTTGAACAGGAGTTTGTTAGGCCAGTGGTCCTCAAAGTGTGGTCGCAGACTAGCAGCGTCAGCATCAGCATCTGGAAACTTGTTAGGAATGTGCAGAGTCTCCAGCCTCACCCCAGATCTACTGGATGAGAAACTCTGATGGGGAGGGCCCTCCAGAAGATTCTGATGCAGCCGGAAGTTTGAGAGCAACTGCCCTAGGCAGAAAATTGCCTGCACAAAATTACAAAGAGGATCAAGAAGAAGAACCCCCCACCCCAAACACACACACACACCACTACCATTTTCTTTACTGGAAGAGAACATTTTTAAAGACCCACCTAGTGCTCAGAGCAAATTTGTAGCAAATTTGCTCCCCTTCCCCATATCATCACCCCCATCCCCCACATCCCTGTTTAGAAACCTTCTACTAATTTATCATGGCTCTTTGGAGGGGAGGAATGCCCCCATTTCACCGGACGGAGGGAATGCCGAGCACCAGGCATGCCAGACATTCCACTGCTAAAAAAAGGGGGGTGGTAGTCCAGGGTTAGCTTGACTGGGCCATACACGCTGAAACTCCTGAGATAGATAGCTTATTCCACCCAACAGTTTCCAATTCTTCCTCTAGGTTTTCCCAGGAGAATTCCACCCTCTTCCATTTTGGGGAGAAGAAGTTAAAATTAGGGCCAGCCCTGCAGGACTGGCATGCCAGATGCGGGGAGGCTGTCCCCATTAATAAGCTGGTTCCCACCGCGGATGGGCGGAGCAGGTCGCCTCCAGTCCCATTCCAGCCTAGGGGCTCCTGGAAGGCTTGCCTCTTGCAAGTGTCTACAAGGGGTCTGATCTCAAGCTTTAAAACCCTGAGCCACGCACCGCATCCTGACCTCTCCTCTCTCCCAGCCAGTCCTGGCTGGCTTTTCAAAAGTGTGCAGTTGTCTCCTCCCCGCCCAGCCCTATCCTCGCCCAGGACCAGCTGTGCGGTGGGCCGGCTTCACTCGGGACGCGAGCAGCCCCGCGGCGGCAGCCGAGGGAGCGGCGCTCTCCATTCAGGCACCCTCAGCTTTCCGCTTGGATCCGGGAGCCGCTTTGCAAAGTTGGGCAGCTCCTAGTGCACACTTGGCCTCTCCACTTCTCCCTCCCCGGGTTCCCGGCGCCCCCGCCTCCCACGCTCCCTTCCACCAGGAGCAGCCGGTCCCAGCTAGTTGGCAGCGTGTACCCCTTTCCGGTTCTACTCCCTGAAGCGCGACAATGCTGTTAAGGGGCGTCCTCCTGGCAGTGCAAGGTAAGGCCTGGACACGGGGGTACCCCCGGGGGGCGCTCTGGTGACCCCCTCCCGCTCCTGCAGCCCGGTGGCCTGCCGGAGTGGCCGTCCTGGGTTGGACCATCCGAGGGCGCCTCCCGATTTCTCTCCACAGCCGCTAACTTCCCTCTCCAAGCCACGCCTGGGGTGGCGATGGGGTGGGCGTGGGGTCGTGCAGTGGAAGCGCCCGGGGACGGGAAGAGAGGGGGACAGCAGTGCATCTCTCTTCGCCCCCCGCCCTCCCCCCCCACTCTCCTCCCCCCCCCCTTTCACCAGGTAGTCCCCTGGGGCGCCCCGAGTTGCTGCCAAGGCTCCCGGTCCGAGCCTAAGGGAAACTCGCTTTGTGCCCGCAGCCCTGCAGCTGGCTGGGGCGCTGGACCTGCCCGCTGGGTCCTGCGCCTTTGAGGAGAGCACCTGTGGCTTCGACTCGGTGTTCGCGTTCCTGCCGTGGATTTTAAATGAGGAAGGTAAGGGGCTCAGTGCACGGGCGCCCGAGGTGAACTTCCCTCCTGCTGGCTGGCTCTTTCACGTGGGTAATGTTATCTTGGAGTTAAATCCCCTCCGGAGGAAAAGTGTGAGTCATGGATCCTCCTTCTAACCCTCAGCTGTGCTGCCTGGATGGCCAAGGGAGAAAGGGGGCGGGGAAGGGGGGGGGTCCTTTGTTTACCTGGGCTGTGGGAAGAAGCTCTGAGATTTTCTCCCTCCCCTCAGTACTCCTGAGTGGAAGAGAGAAAAGAGGCACAGCTCCTGAATGTCATCAGCCTCTCTTGTCCTCAGTAGACACCTTTGTAAGTTGAGAAAGTTGGATGGGGAGAGTTCTCTTCCCACCCAGTAGAAATGGTTCCGTGATTCTGTGATGGAACCTCAGTGCTGAAAGCTCACATTTATGTTGTGCTTGACAGCTTTTTGTTGCCCGACTTCATCTTCATACTGTTGTTGTACTTAGAATCCAGCACTTGGCAAAGGAGGAGACCGAGTCCATGACCGTATGCCTGAGGTCACTCAGCTGCCTGGCCTTGGTCATTGTCTCACCACTACGCACCATCTGGGTTCTAGTGACAAAGTTTAAATGTGGAGTTTTCGGATGTATCTTCTTACCCTTCATTATATAGTGAAAAATAGGCAGTTCTTCAGTGCCCAACAGCAGGCACTGGGCGTCCCGCCTCCTTTCCTTTCTCACTCACTTGTGTCACCCCATTTAGAAGCCTGATGCCCCAGGCCATCTGGACTGGGAAATAACCTCCTTTAAAATACCCTGCAACAGAAAGGAGATCTGCTAACCTCCTTCTCCTCCCACAACTAAGGACAACTCCTCAGGCCCCCAAGTCATCTAGGCTGGCTCCCTGGAGGAGGGGGGAGCCCAGAACCGCTGGTTAGGAACTATGAACTATCACCACAACTCACTTTGCCCCAGGCTTCTGTCTGGGGGCTTGCACACATTAGCTTCTCTGACCCTCCCAGGTAGGAGATGTCAGCCCTATCTTACAGAGGAGGGAATCTCAGCCTTAGAATATTCAAATGGCTGGCCCCTGTCACTTGGTGTCACTGAGTGGCTAGCTCTGAGCTGTCTAGTTAGGGGCGGAAACAGGAGGGAACTAGCTCAGTGTAATCTTTATTTAGTGTCAACAATCGCCACGTGCTGACTATTGCAGTTTACTTAGGGGTAGCTGGGAAAAAGCAATTCCTGATTTATTATCTGAGGGATTCCTACCTTGCTGATGGCCTTAGGAAAGTCTCTTTCTTCTCACCACCCCGTCCTTTTCCCTGTTCTTGTTGCACGTGAAGCATTTTGAGACATGGCCTGACAGAGGGTACGTGACTGGCTTTGGAGCACTTTCTTGTCTAGCACAGTGCTTCTCAAACTTTAGCTGCATCGATTTCCCTGGTGAGCGTGTTAAGATACAGATTGCTGGGCCCCATCCCCCGAGTTTCAGATTTGGTGAGTCTGGGGTCAGGCCTGAGAATCTGCATTCCTACCAAGCTCCCAGGTGATGCTGCTGGTCTGGGGCTCACACTTTGAGAACCACTGACCTTCACAATGTGTGTTCACACACATACACACACACACCCCTCTGCTGGTGGCCCTGGGCTGGGCTGGGACTAGGACAAAGGGGCCACTTGCATGGCCCTGAGAGTGAAAACTCCTTAAATCTTGTGGCCTTGACACCTCTCTTGCCTCCCCCTAGTCCTGGCTCTGAGAAAAGGGAGTCACCATCACCGCTGAGCCCCCACTGCCAGTCCTCTGTCAGGACAGTGGCCTCGCACAGCCCACTCCTGGGTCAGTGGGCCTGCCACAGCCTGCTGAACTCAGCCGCCTCCCAGACCCACAGGAAGTGCTCTCTGCTGAGCTGGCACCTCTGCAGCAGTGGCAGTTAAACCAGTGCTCCTTCAGGGAAAACAGGAAGATGCTTATAGGAAAAGGTGATTATGGTTTAACAGTATAATGAAGGCACTGTTGCTTTCCTTTTTGCTTTCTTTCTAACTTCTAACGGCCACTGCTCTCTGGCTCAGGAATGGGACTACTGGCTGGGCAAAGTTAATTCACTCTCCCCTGAGTGCTCCAGGCGGAGCAGGCAGGTTAGGCTTCCGTTGTTACAGACGGAGTTTTTCAAAGGCCAGAACTTGGACGTAACAGTCCACACCAGAGGGGCAGTGAGGTAGGTGTGTGCCAGCTGCTGTGGTTGCCTGCTGAGAAGCCATCGCTAAGAATTTCCGTTGTAAACCCATTTCTAGGTTGGTAAATTAAAGATAATAAAATTGTCCCAGGCTGAATTTTGGCAAGCTGCTCACAAGCCTTTCTGCAAATGTACTTCATTTTGCTGCAGAAAACCTTGGAAACTGGTTCCATCCACCTCCATGTGTTGGATCCACCATAGAAAGTTGTAGGTTTCAGGGACTTTTGCCCACAAGTCTTTGGAACACAAATGTCGCTTTCTGTATGTCCTTGGCCACTAGGTTAATTTACAGTGGAGAGAACAATGCTAGAGCCCAGGGAGGGGAGTTCGGTAATGACAAAAATCTGCCAATTAGATTTTCATCACAGGAGATTCAAATCTGGGGAGAGTTGTCTCAGAATATCTCCCCAGCTGCCCTAAATTGTTTTTGAGGTCCACTCTTTTGGTTTATTTTGAGTGTTGGGTCTCTAAGCATCTTCAATGACAATTCCAGTGTCCCTAGTTCATGGCCATTTTGAAATATGCTTCATCTCTACTAGGCACAGAATAGGTGAGTTTGGACATGGCAGTGTGTTGGCTAGGGTTGTGTCCACAACGAAGGGCACCCCCAGGGACCAGGTGGCACCAGGGCAGGTGACCGGACCGGGGCTGCAACCTAGCCTGGTCTACTTTCTGGTTTCACCAATAGTTGCCTTGTTTTTATGATTTCCCCTCTATGTTTTTGTAGAATATTTTCATGTTCCCCAGCTTGTCAAGGAAGGTGAGGTTCTATCAGATGCAAATTTGAACTCGCTTCTAAGTTTCAGGTTTGAATTAAATCCACACAAGAAGAGGTCTATTTTACCTTATAAAAATCTTCTTTATTCATTCATTTGTCCTCTGAAATCTTTTTCTTTATTCATTTGCAGTTCAGAGAATACTGGAACCCCTTTGAACAGTGGTTCTTAGCTGAAATCCAGACTGTTGGTACCATTTCCCCAGTGCTAGTGTGGGGGCAGGAGCCCACCGCTGAGGAGCTTGGAGACTGTGAAGTTGGCCTCTCTTCGGAAGAGTCACAATTCAAATTAGTCATCGGGTGGATTTTGGCTGCACTCTAAGTTTTGGACATTTTGGCTTGGCACATTTAACCTAACTCCAGTGTAGAAACTGAGGAAGGGAGGAGGAAAATCCAAATCCAGGTATTCCTCCTTAATTAGAAGTCTGGACCACTAAGCTGCTTGGGAGCGGAAGATAGATGTGGAAATGTATCAGGTTAAGAGGAGGTAAAAAGGAAATTCAAAGTGCTTGCTGTAGGGAAGGCGTTTTTTTCCTACAACAATAGGGGTCAGGATTTGAGAAATTGCCTAACACAGGCAGTTTGGATGGTATTGGCACCTTGGAGCAAGTGATGGAATCTGAGGCAGGACAGCCAACTAGAGGTGTGGCACAACCAAGGGACGGGGGTGGGGGAGATGGTAGACTAGCATTCTAAGTGTATGTGTGTGTCTCTTTCTGACACCCCTTTTGTCACCCAGACCCCTTCCTTCTCTCTTAAGGACACTTTGGGACACTTGGCCATCTGGGTTTCAGTTCTGCACTCAGTCATGTGCCAATTATTATTAATAGTGGTAAATTTTGCCTGATATTTCTTGAGGCCCAGCTAGAGCCGAAAGTCTGGCCAGGATCCCAAGGGGCTTTCCTGGGAGAAGAGAACCAGTCCTCGCATCCCGTGGATTGCAGCTCTTTTCCGGGGGGGGGGCCGACTCAGCAGCCCCGCCCCGCCCCGCGCCGCCATCAGCAGTTCGTCAGGCAGGTCCTGCCCCGTGGGCTGCTTGAACCTGCATCGCCTCTGCTTGCTGGGCTCTTGGTGTTCTCTTAGCAGAAACACAGCCCCCACTTCGTTAAGAGGTTGGAGAGCAGCATGGATCCGGGTGGTTCCTCGGCTGCCTCTCAGACAGCTGGTCGACCCCAGGAATTGGCGAAGTTTTACCTACCGTATCATGTGGCATTTCCCGGGGCTGCCCTGGCTATTCCTGCTGTCAGGTTGAGTGTGGCTATCATGCACTGTGCCTGAGCACGGCATAGGTTCCACCCCAGCTCTGCCTGGGATCCTAGATCCTAGAGCTGGGCCTTAGAAGTCAGCCAGTACAACCTCCTTATTTTACAGAGGAGCACACCTGGACCCAGACAGGCTATGGTCATGGTCACAGACCAAGAGTGGCAGCCCCAGGCAGGGCCTCATTTCCTCGCCTCTCCACCTGTTCTTCCCTCCAGGACTGCTGCCTCTTCTAGCATCCCTTTCTCCACTGGGTCCTGGACCCTGGACCTTGAGTGTGTTAATTAGACTCTATAACATGTTGGAAACGCTTCCTCAGAGATGTAATTATATTTCATCTGCGTGGAAGAACATGGTTCCCAAGGTACAGTCTTTGGGCTTACCAACCCACAAACCACTACATTTTATGTCACACAGTGCATTTATTCACTCTTTCAGATATGTAGCAATCCCTCCTGCCTGCAATCTGCAGCATCTAGAAAAGGGCTTGGCACATAGTAAATGCTCAATAAATATTTGTCGAATGAATGAATTTGTTGAATGAATGAATCCAGTATTGGATGATTAAAGGGTCCTTATGCGTTTTCCTGTGTGCCTCTGGTTCATTCTGCCCTCTCAAAGGTGGTTGCGTATCCTGAGAAGCTACGTAAGCCTAGTGGTTAATACGAACTCTGGAACTGAACAGCTTGGATCCTAATCCAAGGATCCAATATCTTAGGCCAATGGATCTCAACCCTGACTGGACATTAAAATCACC